TCCTTCAACTTCCAAATTTCCACACAAAATCACAGGAACTTGACATCTGCACGTGAAAAGAATGTCAAGTTGTCTCATAAAAAGGAGAGTCTCACATGGTGGAAGTTTTAGAAAGGATTTTAGTAAGCAGGATAAATTAGGGAAAAGTGAAAAAATGGAGAAACATTTCCTGTTCCCCATGCAAGAAATGAGAGTAAGACTCAAAATGGTGGCTCTCACCTGTGGTCTTTATTCTTTTTGAGCCGGGGGTATGCAATGGTGATGTCATCTAGCCTCCTCTGATGGTTAAGACAATGGTTCTTGGTGGCCAAGTGGGTGCTGTTTGCCAGTTTAAAGCATGGGGATGTGATCTAGGCCTTGCAAAACACACAGACAATAGGTGAGGTTTAGGTCTTCCCTTTGCCAGGCATGCCCTCCAATTTTCTATCTCTTTACCCACTGGAGAAGAGTTTGCAGGTTTTTAACATCTCAAAGGAGAAGGCAGATGCACAGAGCCCCTGTATGTACCGTTCTTGCAATTGAACATCTAAAAGGAGGTGATGGGAGGGGGACTTACTGCTGTGGTTTTAATCCTAGTCTGGTTCTAGTTTCTTTTGATATTTTTAATTTTCCTGTCTCGTCTATCTATCCACACTGCCTCAGTATGATTTCTATCTTTTAAAATCTGTTTGTCCTGTTATGTGTTCTACCTTGGTGAATATTCCAGGTGAGCATGAGAAGAATGGTACTCTGATATTGTTGCATGAAGTGGTCTGTAAATGTCAATTATATCAACTTGATTTCATAGTGCCATTGAGTTCAACTATGTCCTTACTCATTTTCTGCCAGCTGAATCTGTCCATTTCTGTTAGAGGGCCTTGGTCTTCAGCTTTAATAATGGATTCATCTACTTCTCCTGGTAATTCCAACATTATTTGCTTCATGCATTTGATACTCTGTCGTTATACAACATAAGAATCATGATGTCTTGCCAGGCAGGTGACTCATACCTGTAATCCTAGCTATTCAGAAGGTGGAGATCAGAGGGATAGAGGCTTGAAGCCAGCCCAGGGAAAAGTTCTCTTGGCCCCATCTCAACCAAGAAAAACTGTGCAGTGTCACATACTTGTCATTCTAGCCATTCAGGAAGTGCGGTCCATGCTGGCCCAGACATAAATGTGAAAGTGTTAGAGCATCTGCCTAGCAAACTTGAAGCCCTGAGTTCAAATCCCAGTACTGCCAAAAAATAAATAAATAAAATTACTATGTCTTCTTGGAGAATTAACACCTTGTCCTTAAATACTGCTGCTTTTTATCCCTGATTATTTCCTTTTTGTTGCTGTTGTTTGTTGTTTGTGGTAGGGTCTCACTATGTAGACCAGACTGGCCTTAAACTCACCATGTAGCCCAATCTTCCTCGAACTTCAATTCTCCTGTGATTACAGACATGAGCCATGCCTGTGTGCAGCTTTGCTTAGTTTTAATATGGCATATCTTTCTTTTTCCACTTATAAATAACAGGTAGTTGAGTCATGTGGTTTGATCACTTTGACAATCCCTTTTAATTGATGAATTTAGATCTTTGATGTTTAAAATGATTATTGATTAATGTCTAGCATGTTTGCTACCATTTACTATTCACTGTCCCTTTCTTTGTATCCATTTTCATCTTCAATTGCTTTTTCAACTTTTTTCAGCTTTAATTGGGCATTTTAAATGATTATGATTTCTCTCCTTTCTTTCAAAAAGTTTTACTGTGGTTATCTTAGGATTTGTAATATCCATTTACAACAACTCCAGCTCTGCTTCCAAATAACACTACACTACTCCATGAGTAGGTCAAATATCTTATAATGTCAAGATGTTTGCAATTCATCTCTCCTGTCCTTTGTATTATTGTCATTCATTTTACTTATATATAATCTATAACCATCAAATACATTCTTATTAATTTGATTTTATTGGCTAGACTAAGAATAAGAAAGGAGCTGGGGCATAGCTCAGTGGTAGACAAGGTGCCTAGCTTGTGAAAGGCTCTGGTCTTAATCTCCAGCACCACCAAAACAAAAAACCAAAGCATAAGAATAATAATGCTACCTTTCCTTATGTAGATCTGAGTTTGTGACCTATATAAAGTCCTTATTCTCTGAATAATTTCTCTTAAGAAGTCCTATAAGTCAGATCTACTAGAAGTAGTTCCCTCATTTTTTGTTTGAGAAAGTTTAATTCAACTTTAATTTTGAGGGATAATTTCACAGAATCTAGATTGGTGGATTTTTTTCTTTCAACACTTAAACATTTAATTCCACTTTCTTATCTGCATGGTTTCTGAGATGAATTAATATATAAATCTTATATTTGCTCTTTTAAAGGCAATATTTTTTTTCTCCTTCTAGCTTCTCTCAATATTTTCCTTGCATCTTCAGTTTTTCATCAGTTTGTGTATGATTTGCCTAGGTATAGAATTTTTCCAGCATTTGTTCTGCTGGGAGTTCTATGAGCTTTATCTGACATTATTTGCAGTAATTCTCAAGCATTATTTCTTCAAATATTGCTTCTGTTCCATTGTCTTTCTTCCCCTTCTTGTTACACATAACTTTTGTAGTTGTTCTGTAATTCTTTAATGTTTTGTTCCCCCTCTCCTCTTTTTTTTAGGTCTTTGTTATTTGTTGGTTTGGGAAGTTTCTATGACATATCCACCAGCTCTGATTCTCTTTCCTCAGCTGTATCCACTATACTAATTTCTGTGTTTTTATTCTTGGGATTTCCATCTCTGTGCTCACATCATTCATTTGCTCTTTACACTGTCTATATTTTCCATGAGACCACTCCTACATTAATCATTGTCATTTTAAATTCCCAGTCTGATAATTCCAATATCACAGGTGTTCTGGGTCTGGTTCCAGTGCTTTCTCTCTCTCTTCATGCTGTATTTATTGCCTTTCAGTATGATTGTGATTCTTTCTTGAAAGCCAATACCAGACATAATATGCTGCTCAAAAGAAACGCAGGTAACGAGGTCTTTAAGGGTAATTTTAAGATGCGTGTTGTGGGATGAGACACGTATGAGACATGTTCTATGCATCTGTGATCAGGTCTCAGGGTCTCAGTGAGAGGGACTGCAGAGTGGCTCAGGTGATAGAGCATCTTCCTAGCCCAGGAAAGTCCAAGATCATGGTGCCAGTGTTGGTTTCTGGTGAGGGCTGCTGTCTGCTGCATCCTCACATGGTGGAAGGTGAACAGCAAAGAGGGGGAACTCTCTCTCGAGGCCTCTGTTACAAAGGCACTAATCCTTTCATGATGGTCATCCCTCTTGATTGAGCCACTTTCACAAAACCTCCTTCTCATAATTCCAAAACCAGTGGGGATAAAGTTAAAACATGAAATTTGAGGAGACACACACCAAAACCATAGCACTATGTTTATAAAAAAGTAAGTTTTAATGTTGATTAAGTCCATCTCATTACTGGGTGTGGTGGCATAAGCCTGAATTCCCAGCCATTCTACAGGCAGAGGCAGGAGGATCCAGAGTTGGAGGCCAGCTGGGCAAAGTTAGCAAGGATTTATCCCCAAAACAAAAATAAACCAAAAGGGCTGAGAGAGTGGTTCAAGTGGAAGAGTGCTTGCCCAGCAATCATGAGGCCATGTGCTCAATTCCCAGTACCAGAAAAAGAAAAAAGGGGAAAAATGGGGGGAGGATGGCACAAGAGAGAACAGAGCTAAATGGCTTGTTCTTTCTCAAATGTGATATACCCTCAGCCATGTTACAATGCAGCAGGAAGGCCCTCGCCAGATGCCAAGCAGACACTGGCGCCATGCTCTTGGGCTTCCAAGTTTCCAGAACAGGAACCAAATAAACTTCTATTCTTTATAAATCACCTGATCTCAGGATTGGTTCTAGTAACAAGATACAGCCTGAAACATCACACATCTCTTGAACTCAAGAGCCCTGGTTGTACTTATGCGTGTTATGTTCTGTTTATATCTTGACAATCCCACCATCTTCTCAAGTCTTGGTGCCTCCTGATCATCATGCAGCTCCTACATTGTCTCCTATACAAGCTCTCAACACAACAGCAAATGCAGAATTTATAAGCAGGTACACAGGTATCCTCCCTGGTTGGACTCCATTTTCCCCAAATGTTTAATGGGTTTTCTATCTGCTAATGTTGGCCAAATTTGTTTTCTGCTTATAGCTCAAACTAGTAACTAAACTTAATATCTATTTCTACCATCTCACACCCGAGTTGATAGAACATTTTCTTCTGGACTAAGTGATTTCCAAAATCTCCCTTCTTATTATAAAAGTTTTAAGAACATGGTTCAAATAAATATGCCAATTCTGACTACTACATACATCTCAGAATATATAAAGCTGAAATGCTTCAACAGAACATGATTTGGATCAAAATATTTACTGTTTTCCCAGCTGTTTAGAAGGATGGTAAAAACAATTAAGAGACAGGAAAATCCTTTTAGGAATCCATAGATTGGTCAGTTACCATCTGTGACAGGTTGCAAGCTCACAATACAAACACTCCCTCACATATATTTGCCCTAGTGACAGACAAAGACAAGGACCAAATAAAACACAATAGAATGAAATGATCTACAACACATACAGTTTAATAAATTCTTCAAAGGGGTTACAACACTTGCACTGTAGATACAACAGATCAAGTATTACCATTTCCATTAGAGACACAGCAGAGAGGGCAAAAGACTCCTGACTGCCACACTGCTCATTCAGCTAAGGAGAGGCTAGCCAGGTAGCAAGTTGAAAATACTTCCAAAGTGCTGAGTTCTGTTCAGGGAAGTTCCCCCATTCTGTTAGTTACACTTTGGGACATTGAAATTGGCTTGGGGAGATGATTAGATAGATATATTATTCTATTCACTCACCTTGGAGTCTACACTATGAAAAAAGATGGAAAAAGAAAATAAAGTTGGGAATAGCATAGAGGAGGAATGAGGGATAAATGAAAAAAAAAAAAAAAAGGACTCTGCCCATGAGTTTCCTCTCAGGGTCTCAGTGTAAGTCTGGATCTCATGCAATTAAGCCACAGGAAAGGAAAAATTCTCCCAGTGAAGGAAGGTGAGAATTCGTAGATAATATCCTGAGTTCTGGTGTTGGTAAAGGTTACCTTCCCTCCCTCATAATCCAGGGCAATGCCAATCTGCCTAGGACAGTAAGACAGGACCTGGAAGGGCTCAGCATTGGCGCAGACACAGACCCCAGCTGAAGACAGCTGCAGAGTCCAGAATCCCTCCTCAGGTGTGAAAGTGAGAGAGCCTCTTCTCACCACTGACTCTCTTGCCACCCCCACCAAGCAGAATTTGGGCCATATTCCATTTTCCTGAGACCATTCTTCCTCCAGCTCTTCACTCTCATTTCTACATACAGGAGATCTATACCTATCAGTGATGCCAAGAAACCCATCAAGATAGCTGCTGCCAAACACACCTCTGGTCCCACCTCTATATTTCACTGTTTCTTTCTCCTCTGCTCCCCACCAGATCCTATCCACTTTCACTTCCCAGTACACTTTCCCCCAGGTGAAACCCTTACTGCCCAGCACAGCAGGCTCAGGATCAAATCGCTGACCGCGTTGGTATTTGTTCATCCACAAGCCAGTGAATATCATGCTCTTCCCGTTTGGAGACACTGAGAGGTAGCCATTGGCTGTCTGAGAATTCAGGATGATCCTCACTGTGGGGACAAAGGAATAAAGGTATGACATCATAAAAGATTGCAAAGAAGATTTTTCTCCCAGACTCTGGAGCCCTTGTGACAATGGATCCCCTTTGGGAACTAGGATAGGGAATGCCTGAGACCTTGTTTCCACACTACCATTAGCTCCATGTCTACAAAATAAAATATGGGGGAAAAATGATGGCCCTAAGGGTACAATAAGAGCTGTGAGGATCTGGTAGCACACACATAAAGTTCCAACACTTGGGAGGCTGAGGCAGAAGGATTGCAAGTTCAAGGCTAGCCTGGGGTACGTAGTGAGACCCTGTCACAAACAGAAAGGATGAAGGCCAGAAAGAAAGAAGGAAGGAAGGAAAAAAGGAAAGAGAAAGACATAGTAACACATACCTGTACATTCCAGGTCAGTCCTAGAAAAGTTATCAAAATAATATCTTAAAACCAAAATAAGTGGCTTGTGCCATGGCTCAAGTGGTAGAGCACTTGCCTAGCATATGTGAGGTTTGGGTGATTCAACCCCAGTACCACAAAAAACAGAACAAAATAAAAAATAAAACCAAACCAGTAAACGGGTAGATCATGGCTCTAGTGGTAGAATGCTTGCCTAGCATGCTGGAGGCCCAGGTACTTTAAAACAAAAATAAACAAAGCAACAGGCCAAAACAAAAAACACACCTGTGAGAAGAAAAGGAGAAGGACTGGGATCATTATGGCTGGGAAATGTCTCCCCAAAGTTTATGGCTTTGAAATCTGAGGAATCAGGATAAAAATTTCTGATAGTTAGCCACCACAAAGATTTTCCTATTAGAGACCATCCAGAAGTAAAAGAGCTTCACAGGAAATTGCAGTACTAATGGGAGAGTTACTTGATTTGGGGAAAACATCTGTCCACCGTTCCCACCAGATACTCACTTGTTTTATATTCCAGATCCCTCATTAATTTTCCTGGAATGAAGGAAGGAAAAGACAGTAACTAATTCTGACACCACATCTTTCTAAGTCAAATTCTCTTACTGTTGGCTAGTACAGCTTAAGAGCTGACAGACACCATGAAAACCCAAGTGAAACAGAGAAGTCAGTGCAGGAGGTGCCTAGAGTTGTGCAGTCTAACGTGGTTCATTCAAGTACCCATGCCAGCTCTGCTCCCATATCTGCGGCTTCACTGACCCATACTGTCTCTCTGTCTCTGTCTCTTTCTCTCTCTGTACTGGGTATTGAACTCAGCCTCCTGTCTTCTAGGCAAGAACTCTGCCACTTGAACCTTGTCCCCAACCCCAGTCTTTTTTATTTTAGTTTGGTTTTCAGATATGGACTCACACTAAATTTATCTGGGTTAGCCTCAAACTGCAGTCCTCTAGCCTCCTCCTGAGTAACTGGGACAAGAAGTGTGCATCATCACACCTGGCTTTTTTTGAGTCAGGGTTTTGATATCTTTTTCCTGAGGTGGTCTTGAACCATGGTCCTCTTATCTCTGCCTCCTGAGTAGGTAGGATTACGGACATGTGCCACCACACCCAGCCCCATAGTCTTCATTCTTTAATGAAATGCTAAACTCTCAGACCTAAATCACACTATTTTTCTCCACTCTCAAAAGTAACTCTAAGATTCATTCTCACAAAGCGCTTCTGAATTTTAAAAAAAATTTTAGTTAAAAGACACATAACACAAAATTTGCCATATTTACAATTTTTAAGTTCAGTGTTGTTAGGTATATTCATATTGTCATTCAACCAATTTCTGGAACTTTCCCATTTTGTAAAAATGAAACTCTATATCCAAAATAACAGCTTCTCATTCCCCATCCCACCAGCTCCTAGCAACCACCATCCTACTTTTTGTTTCTATGAATTTGACTACTTTGATACCTCAAATAAGTGGAATTAAAAATTACTTATGTTTTTTGTGACTGATTTATTCCACTTACAAAATGTCCTCAAGGTTCACCCGTGTTGTAACATGTATCTAAATTTGATTTTTAGGTCAATAGTAGGCATTGTATCTGTATATACACATTTTCTTTGTCCAGTCCTCCAGTAACAGACACTTGGGTTGTTCCACCTCGTGGCTATGGTGAAGAATGCTGCTACAGAACATGGATATCAAGTATCTCTTTGCTTTCAATATTTTTTTGGCGGTACTGGGTTTGAAGTCAGGGCCTTGCATTTGTTAGGCAGGTGCTCTACTGCTTGATCCACTCTGCCAGCTCTGTGTTTTTTGCATTGGTTTTTTTTTTAGATAGGCTCTCACTTTATGTCCAAGCCAGCCTGGACAGCAATCTCCCTATCTGTGCTCCCCGCATAGCTGGGATGGCAGGTGCACACCACCACATAAAGGCATTGGTTGAGATGGGGTCTCATGAACTTTTTGCCCAGGCTGACCTGGAACTGCTACCCTCACAATCTCTGCCTCCAGAGTAGCTTTGATTATAGGTCTAAGCTACCACATGCAGTTCTGCTTCCAATTCTTTTGCTGTATACCCAGGGTGGGTCACATGATAATGCTATTTTTAGTTTTTCTGTGTACGTTTTTTTTTGGATATATTCCTTACACGGGAGTGATTCAGAGTAACAATTCTGACTGGGCTTATATTGTACATTAGTTGCATCACCCCCATTGTCTCTCCCCCTCAACCCTGTCCCCACCCCACTCAAAGCAATTACAAGAGGTTTTAGTTATATTTCATATATGTATATGAAGTCCCTAAGCCATAAACCATCACCTTTATCTTTTTCATTCACCGTCCCCTCTCCCACTAACACCCCCCCACCATACTTATTTCACAGTCCTGGCTTTTGTTATTAATTTTTAAGTTGATGTTCAAAGGGGTTCCTCAATGCAAGCCCACTCTGGGTAGAGTTGACTTTGGCCTGTTCAACCTGTTCCATTATTCTCCTTTACCCCATTACTTCCTACCCCCTATTTTTCAACAGCTTTCAATACATATCCTGATATCCTCTACTTTCACACCTTATGTTTTATGATATTACTGATGCTTTACCATTCTCTTCCCTTTCTCTCTTTCCCTGAGTTCCATAGAGTAGTTCCACTGTTACAATCATGTTCTGTATCTGAGTTTGTATATGATCATGTTTGTTTTTGTGTATATGTTTGTCTTTTGGATCTATCTTCTACGTGTGAGAGAAAACATGTGGCCTTTGTGTTTCTGAGCCTGGCTTCACTTAACATGATGTCCTCCAATTGCATCCATTTAACTTCTAATCACATTCGTAATGGATGAATAAAACTCCATAGTGTATATACACTACATTTTCTTGATCCATTCATCAGTTGTAGGGCATCTGGGTTGTTTCCAAAGCTTGGCTATTGTGAATAGTGCTGCGATGAACATCAGTGTAGAGGTATGTCTATTGTATCTTGTCTTATGTTCCTTTGGGTAGATGTCCAGGAGTGGAATCACTGGATCATGTGGTGGTTCTATCTTTAGGTTTTTGAGGAATCTCCATACTGTTTTCCATACTGGTTGTACTAATTTGAATTCCCACCAACAATGTAGAAGTGTTCCTGTTTCACCGAATCCTTGATTATGGCTGTTCTAAAGGGTGAAATCAAATCTAAGTGTTTTAACTGTATCTCTTTTATAACCAGGGAAGGTAAACATTTCGTGTATTTACTATCCATTTGTACCTCTTCCTTTGAGAATTCTCTGTTTAATTCATGTGGGTGTTGATTCTTTGGGTGTTGAGTATTTTTAGTTCCCTGTAGATTCTGGATATTAGTCCCTTACCAGATAAGTAGCTGGCAAAGATTTTCTCCCACTCTGTGGGCTGTCTCTGGAGTCTGGTGACTGTTTCTTTAGCTATGCAGAAGCTCCTTAGTTTGATGCAGTCCCATTTGTTCATTGTTTCTCTTAATGCTGAGCCTTTTGAGTTCTGTTTAGGAAGTCGTTCCCTATACCAATCTGATCCAGTATATTTCCTGCTACTTCCTGGAGTTATTTTCAAAGTTTCAGGTCTCATATTAAGGTCTTTGATCCACTTTGAATTGATTTTGGGACAGGCTGAAAGACAGGGATCTAGACTTGCCATATTGCTTTCCTTAGCCACCTGGTGTTTTTCACCTCACTTTTACATATGAGTCATCATCTTTTAACCAATTCTGGGATCTGTTAGTTATGATTCTACCTCTGTGTAGGTAAAGATTTTAGACTGTCATGTAGAAAGAGACATCCTGGTTTGGATTTAGATTGCCTCCCCAATGTCCCTGCCTGAGGACCTGCAGAAGAACAAGGAATTCTGAGAAGCCAAGGCCAGATTTAAAACCTAAGGAAAGACAGAGAAAGAAAGAACCCCTTCCTTCACCCATTTCTTTACCATGGAATCCTTTCAGTCCTTTCTCTAAGGAAAGAAATTTATCTGAAAATTCTTCTGCCCGCTTTTTGATTGCAGGACTGACAGGCTTTTCCATCCAGAACTTCTTCCGGGGGTACCTAGAGAAAGTAGAGTCACAGTGGGAATTATCGAAAGAAAGACACATATTCCTTTGTCACCCACACATACAGGCACATACACCAACAATGGTCCAAAGTGCTCAATTCCAACATAAGGGTCAAAGGGTAAAATATACAGAGATCTGAAGAATGGGTCATGACCCAAGTATTCTCTATGCACCAATACATAATTTATGTAGGATGTTAAAAAAAGAAAGCCATTTTCAGCCTTGCAAGCTCTTCAAAACATTCTAATATCACAGTTTCTGAAGAACTTACTTTAGGATATACACCAGATAATGAAAATTAAGGTAAAATTTTGCATTCTTTTTTTTAATTAATTTAAAATTAAGATAAAGCTGGGCAGAAATACATAAACTAATTACAAAATGAAAGAGATCTGAGGTTTGACACTATTATCCAATGGTATGTAACTCAAGGCAGAAAAATATGAAATAAGACAACAAAAGCTATTTTAAGTTACTATAACCAAGATAGGACAACTGGATACTGATACCTCACACCTGTAATCCTAGCTACTCAAGAGGCAGAGATCAGGAGGATTGCATTTCAATGTTAGCCCAAGCAAATAGTTTGTGAAACCCTATCTGGAAAAATACCCAACACCAAAATGGGCTGGTGGAATGGCTCAGGTGATAGAGCCCCTGTGTAGCAAGCCCGAGACCCTGAGGTCAAGCCCCATTCTGAGCCTCCCTCATTTCTTATGTAGTGACTCATCTTTAATATATCTCTCTAGTCTCCCCCACCAGGACCTGGTAGCCTATCTCATTACCCTCCTTTCTATCCAATGTCTGGCCCACAGTATACGCTCAGTGAATGGCAATGTCTAGGTTGTCTCTAGAGATGATTTGTGTTATCAAAACTCCTGACTCCCATTCTGTGTATCTTGTGAGTACTGTGAAAACTGCCATGTCAGTGTTTAACACATGTTTCCTCAGGCCCACTGCCAGAGAAATAATCACCCCTGTGACCTGCAAAAGTGTTCTCTTCCTATGACCAATCAGAGCCCAGGAAACCATGGCTACTAAGCACTGAGGACGATGTCATGGTGAAAGGTGCTCTGCAGCGTACAGGGACACTGCAGACAGAAGTGGCACCTGAGAACCATGTTGGGATGGAAAGAATGAAAGGAAATCACAGATTCTAAATGTCCTGTATCTTGTTTCCCATTTCATTTTTCTCTCAGCCCATTACCATCCTAACATAAGTTCTGTGACAATAATTTTTTTGCAACTGCATCCTCAGTTCCATCAAACACCTTTCAACCTATGCTACTAGAAGGTCTTCTTCCTTCTAAATGATTCTCTTCTAGTCTTTATAAAATTTAAGTAAGATTACAGTAAGTGAAAACGAGGGACACCATAAGTGGTTAAATTTTTAAAAATCAAGAAGCACTTACCTGCTTATTATATCACTTGGGTCCTGGGAAGGAAGAGAACACAGACAATGTCATGGCATGATGTTCTCAGAGGCCATCAGCATCCCTGTGTGATTCCCTGGGGAATAGGTTCCCCACAGGGCTGTACTGGGAATTATTCTGATGGGCTTGAACCTGTTCTGTTCTCCACTGCAGTAGTGGTTGATAGGGACACATGTTTCTCCCTCCCTTCCTCCTTTTGAATTTTGTTAGTTGGCCCCATCTTACCTGTCTCATCTCCCCTTTAATGTCTTCCTCATTACACTGATTTCTCTGGAAAGCTAGCTTGCTTCACTCTGTGTCCCCTTCCTATCCATCTCCCTTTTCCTAAGTTTCTCAGCACCTACACTTGTCTCCTTATACACAACCAAATTTATTATCACATTCATTTATGTATTTCTAACCAATGCACCCCACCCCTCACCAAGCTCAATGTTGAGCTGCACCTGATAATCTGCCTTTCCATTTTCTTCAAGGCCAATATCAAGCGCCACTTCTGAAGACAATCCATGACTAAACTCTAGCTTTGCCAGCATTGCTATTGTTTGTTGTCTGGTCACAAGATTTAAACTCAATGACTGCTGGGCACTGGTGACTCATGCCTGTAACCCTAGCTACTTGGGAGGCTGAGATTAGAAGGATCACAGTTTGAGGCCAGCCTGAGCAAATAGTTCTTGGGACCCAATCTCCAATATAACTAGAGCAAAATGTACTAGAGGTGTGGCTCAAGCAATTAGAGAGCCTGCTTTGCAAGTACAAAGCCCTGAGTTCAAACACCAGTCCTATGAAGAAACAGAAACCCAAACAAACAAACAAAAAAATCTCAATTACTTAAGTGTCATAATTATAAATGTACAGACCTTACTGCTGTATTTTATGGTCTGTGCATAGTACCCTCTTGTTATGGTTTGAATAGCCACATGTACTGGCATGGGTAACAGGTGAGGGACTTTTGGGAGGTGATTGGATCCTGAGGACTCTGGTCTAACCAATGGATTAATCCCTTGCTGGATTCATAGTATGAGGCATTATTGAGAGATGGTAAAAGGTAGGAAGTGGGGCCTACTTAGAGGAAGTAGGTCACTGGGGATGTGTCCTTAGGGCTTTTACCATGCCCTCACTTCATCCTGCATTTCTCTTTCTGTCTCCTGTCTGCCATGAGGTGAGGAAGCTCCTGATGTTTTGCCCAAGCACACAGGCAAGTAAGTATGGACTGAACCCTCAGAACCAGAGCCCAAATAAATCTTTCCTCCCTTAAGGTGTTCTCTCCAGTGTTGTGGTCACAGTGACTAGAAAGCTAACTAATAAAAATTCCCTGAAATTTAGGCCTTTCAACCTATTGGTTGACTGATTTAAATATTAAAGGATTCAATAGATAAGAATAAAACATTGTCTTTCCTGACTCCTGGTCAAATCTTTTGCTAATGAAGATATACTGCACCTTGAGCAAAAGATTGATGCAGTATAGTTGGTCCCTTACCTGCAAAAGTTCAAGTGCTGGCTGCTGAACCTTCTTCTCTAACTCAGAAATCAGGGTCCCAAGGCGGATCTTCTCCTCAGAGCCTTTAGTGATATGGCTGCTCCTTCCTTCTGTGAGCTCGTGCTCCAGACCCACCAGCAAGTCCAACAGGTACTGCTCCCTTTCTCTCAAGAACTGATGGCCCTGCTCAAACACTGATACAATGTCATGCCTGTGGTCCTGCAATTTTGTCTACAATAAATGCAGAAAGAGAAGGACGATTTCTTTTGGGAGGACAGAAAACACTAGAATATTTGTGAGCTCTTCTGGGAGGCGTTCAGAACTGGCATCCCTTCAGTCAACCCCCCCTCTTTCCCTGCTCCATCACACACACACACACACACACACACACACACACACACACATGCATGCACGCACACCCCGATCATTCACTCAAGGTTTCTCTCACCAACAGGGCTTGAATCTCATCTTCTCCTGTAGATTGAAAATTGTGAATTCTATCCCTATCTCCCTTCAGAATCTTCAGATGGTTTAGAATTTTGCCCTATGGAAATGAACGTGAATAATGTCAAGAACAAAATGAAAATGACCTCATGAAAAGGAGATGCAAAGCAGTTCCACCAGGAAATCAAAGAGCATTTGACCCTATGTACTAAAAAAAAAAAAAAAAAAAGGCATGTGGAAGAGTTTCCATTCTAGTTAATGAAGCAGAAGCACAGTGAGAACTGTAAACGTGAATAATGTCACAGAACAAAATGAAAATGACCTCATGAAAGGAGATGCAAAGCAGTTCCACCAGGAAATCAAAGAGCATTTGACCCTATGTACTAAAAAAAAAAAAAAAAAAAGGCATGTGGAAGAGTTTCCATTCTAGTTAATGAAGCAGAAGCACAGTGAGAACTGTGTGGGCTTAGAACGGTTTCTTCAAAGTGAAGTAAAACAGTCTAGTATACAGAGCTGGGGCTCGGCACACGAGGTAGAGTGCTTGCCTAGCATGTGCAAGGCTCTGGTCAATCCTAGTGCCACATGTATAAAAATATCTACCTCATTAAGTATTAAGACTTATGCTATGGTTTTTAGTTATAGTCACATAATTCTTTTGCACTGAAAATAAAGATAAAATTAATTAAGAATATAGAAATTGAAAAAGAAAATCAATACAAAAAGTAAAGGAAAGTATATATGTTGTTTTAGCCCATTTCTACCACTATAACAAAGTACCTTGCAATGGGTAACTTTATAAAGAAAAGAGACTTAACAAGCTCGCAGATCTGGAAGCTAAAGGGCATGGCACTGGCATTAGCTCAGCTTTCATAGGGATCTCATGACAATGACATCACGATGTTAGGAGCACATTTGAGAGGGAGAGCTCACATCACCAGACTGGAAGCTAGAGAGCAGAAAAAGCAATTTCCTCCCCTAGGCTCCACCTCTTAAAGGTCTACACTTCCTGTCATTACCACACTGAGGATGAAGCCCCCATGCTTTTCCATGTGGCACAAACTTAAACCATACCCAAACCGTAGCACATTCAAAGAATAACTAGTTAATTTTATGATTCCCATCAGTCAAGGACAAAAGAGAAACAATGGATTGCATATTTTGTTTGTGGTGCTGGGATGTAACCCAGCACTTCACACATGCTAGGCAAGCCTGCTACCACCGAGCTCCAACCCTGGCCAGGATAATTCTTCTTAGGCACAGGAGAAAACATGCCAGTACATCAGAGGAAATAATATTTTCCCTGGTATTAAACTCTGAAAGAAAACTTATAAGGAGATTTTATACAGAATAAAATAGCGTCAAAAATATTTTTCAACAATTATATGCTGCAGGACAATCGGAAGTTATGTAGTAAGAAGGCTGGTATGCTGCGTTGCTGATTGACATGTGACTCCAATGCCTCAGAAACCATTGGGATAGACTTAGTATTACAAAAGTATGGCAACTGTTATGTTAGAATGTGTCCCTCAAACTTCATATGTTAAAAAGTCGATTCCCAATACAGCAATGTTGAGCTTGTTTTGAGGTTCTAGCAGGGAGTACACTACTTGTATACCCTTGACCAAAGAATGGTCCTCCTCTATCAGGTATGGTCAGCCTCTTCCACAAGGAGGAGAGGTAAGGGAGGAAGGAGACACTTGCCTAGCCAGCCAGATCAGAGGAGTCAACTCTGGGGATCAATGGGGTGACAGATGTCGCAGCCAGATCACCCTCACATCCTGCAGCAATGTTCAGAGGTGGCACTTTTAAGAGGTGATTAGGTCATTAAGATTCTACCCTCATGAATGGATTGATAGTGTCATCGGTGTGGGTTCCTGATAAAAAGATGAGTCTGCACTCTCCCGCACTATTGTTCCCTCCCTCTCTCTTTTCCCACCTTCCCCAAACACTGCCATTTCCCTCTCTCCCTTGTGATGGCTTATGCAGGGTTATAATGCAGCAAGAAGACCCTCTCCAGATGTTGGCGCATTCATCTTGGACTTCTCATTCTCCAGAACCATGAGCCAATAAACGTCTGTTCATTTTGATTGCCCAGACTGTGTTATTCTATTATAGCAGCACAAACAGATTCAAACAGAAATAAACCAGTTTTATCATACACATTCAAAGGATGAAGTTACCAAAACTTTCCATGCTAAAGCTTTGAACCTCACACCCATTAGAATAGCTGTTATTAAAACAAACAAGCAAACAAACAAACATTCATGAGGATGTGCAGAAAAGTGAATCCTGGTACACTGTTGGTGAGAAATAAATAAATTGACAACATCATTATGAAAAAAATGTATAGAGCTTCCTCAAAAAATTAAAAAGAAAACTGCTGTATGTCTAGCAATCCTCTACCTCCTTGAGCAATTATCCCAGGAAGAAAGTAAAATCAGGATCTCAAAGAGATATCTTCACTCCCATGTTCCTTGCAGCATTATTTATAACAGCCAAGGTATGGATCAACCTAAGATAAATGGATGAAGAAAATGTACTATATACATACAAGGGAATGTTACTCTGCCTTTACAAAAACAAGGAAATCCTGCCTTTTATTTATTTATTTTTTTGGTATGGGAGTTTGAACTCAGGGCCTACAACTTGAATTATTCCACCAACCTTGTTTTGTGTTGGGTATTTTTGAGATAGGATCTTATGAACTACTTCCCCAGTCTGGCTTCAAACTGCAATCCTTCTGATCTCTGCCTCCTGAGTAGCTAGGATTACAGGCATGAGCCACTGGCACCTGGCAAATCCTGCCATTTACAACAAGAAGGATGGATGTGGAGGACATTATGCTTAGTGAAATAGGCCAGACACAGAATGACATATATCATACAATCTCACTTGTATGAGGAATCTAACATGGTCGAACTCATATAAGCAAAGAGTAGCATGGTGGTTGACAGGGACTGGGGGAGATGGGGATGTGATGATCAAAGGGAACAAAGTTTTAGTTATGCAAGATAAATGACTTCAGGAGACCTATTGCATAGCTTCACGTCCACAGCTAACAACACTACGTGGTCTTCTTAAACTCTGCAAAAAGGAACCAGGCATGGTGCTTCACCCCTGTAATCCCAGAATTTGGGAAGCTTAAGCAGCAGGACTGTGAGTTCTTGGCCAGCTGGGGCTATGTAGTGAGATCCATATCAAAAACACTTTTTTTTGTAAAAAAGGATAACTCTTAATAAAGTTCTTACAAAACACACAATGACAACAACAACAATAATAAAGGGGATGGAAGGAAATTTGGGGCAGTGATGGATATGTGTGTAGCTCTGATGGTGGTAATGATGTCTGGGAATATATTCAGGATTTGTACACATTAAATAAGTACAGCTTTTCACATGTAAACCATATCCCAATAAAGTAGTTTAAAAATCAGACCCATCCTAAAGGAATGGCAGAACTCTTTTGGCAACAAGAACAGAGTGGGGTCCAACCAGATTCTTACCCGATAAGGCTGGGCAGCCTTCTCCAGGAGAACAGCAGTGTGGTGCCTGTGCTCTGGGGATTCCCGACACATCACACACAGCATCTGCTGGTCATCCTTGCAGTAGTAATGCAGCTTCTCCAGATGTCGCCCACACAGCTTCTCTGCTCTTTGCTCAGGTAGTCTTTCCTCTCTGGGTTGTCTTTCCTCATCCACCTTCATCCTCCAGATGTTCTCCACCAAGCTGGCCATCTGCCACACATGGCGGATATTCTCTTTCTTAAAAGCTGTCTTGCAGAGAGAACAATATAATGGCTGCCTAGAAGATTCACAGACCTTAATGATGCAGTGGTAGCAAAAGACATGGCCACAGTCAATGGTCACTGGTTCTCTCAAGTAGTCAAGGCAGATGGAGCACAGCACCTCATCCTCCAGGTTTCTCAGAGGGGAGGCAGCAGCCATGGTCACTATGCTCAGACTGCAGAGAGTTCCCTCTCCAAGTGAGGAGTCGCCTTCTAAGAAGACACAGAGATAAAAAGGAAATTGTGAGTTTAAGACGCATCCAATAGAACTATGAGAAAATACTTTTTATATCAGATTGTTCCTAACCTTTTTTCCTCAAAATTCAAAGTTCCTTCTAGAGCATTGGTCAAGATAGGTTCCAGCCTGCAGCACTAGATGGGTGTTAAAATGAGGCAGCTTGCTTGGTGTAAGCATTTCAAAGGTGCTCATAGATGTAGCTAAGTGGGGGGTATTTGAGAAGATTATGGGAAAATAAATTCCCAATAAACCTAAAGAATTGTGACTAGCTCTTAGATAATCTCAGTAAAAAAAAAAATTTTGCTGTAAATAACTCAAAATAAAGAATAAAAATTACATAATTTAAGGCTGTGTTTTAAATTCATCTGAGAATATAAGACTTAGATATTAGAATCATTGATCTGTCATTCATATTCTGCCTAGGAAATCTCTTCACTATAGTTTAAAGTAATTTTTTAACATTTTTTGAAACATCACAGTAAAAATGCATTCACATTTAGTCTAATATATACACATATGTACACATACATATATACACACATGGATGCACACCAATGCACATTTCATTGAATACTGTACTATTTATTTTTAATTATTTGTAACTCATTGTGATTTTTTACTACAGCCCATTTTGAAAAATTTTATAACCTACAAAATGTCACGATACAAGCAAGGAACATATACCTTGAAAGATACTAGTGTAAACTACCACTTTATTACTAATCCTTACCTCTACCTGCAGACACAAGGGAGCTGGGAAAGCTGACTGTGTCACCATTTGAATGTAGCACTAGCATCTTACAATCACGTATTTAAATTCATTAATGTCTCTCATTCTTCTCATTCCTCAGGAATAGATAGTAAAATCTACCCACGACTCAAGACATACCACCCCCCACATCTGGTCACCAAATAAAATAACACAGTATCTTAAATAAAAATTCCACAGCATGGCCTCAAAAACAGGAGATGAGCAAGAAAAAGCATTAGTGAACTTGAGGATATGTAATGAAATTATCTAATCTAAATAAAAGAGAGAAAAACAATTAAAAAACTAGAAAACAAACTCGGTCATCTATGAAGTGATATCAAAGAGACCATATTTATGTCATTAAAGCTCTAGAGTAGCTAAAGATATTGGTGGAAAGATGAATATTTAAAGAAAAAGCATGAAATTTCCCCAAACATGGCAAAAGATATTAATGTCAAGAAGCATAGTAAATGTCAAAGAGGTGATGACTTGAAGGAAAATCACCCCTAGACACATCAAAATCAAGTTGCTACAACAAAGAAAAATCTGAAAGTAGGCAGAAGAAAAATGACATAGTACATCCAGGGGAAGAATGTCTCAAATGACTGCAGATTTCTCATCAGAAACCACAGAGGTCAGAAGACAGAGGGAAAACATCTACAAAGTGCTGGGGAAAAGGAACTGTAAACTCAGAATTCTAACCACCAAAAAATGTTCTTCAGGAATAAGAGCGAAAAAAAATATATTTTCAGGTGAAGGAGTACGAAGTAAACATGCTGTAGAAGAACTGCTAATGGAAGTTCTTCAGGCCCTCATGAAATGGTACCAGTGGGGAATCTGGAACCTCAGAAATGAAGGAAGAAGAGAAGTAGCAAACATTTGCATATGTATCATTGTCTACTTTACAGCTCATAAGTTCTTTAAATATACAGGACTGTTGGAAGCAGAAATTCTACCACTGTTGGAAAGGGGTTTGTGTATATCACAGAGCACATAGATGAGTACAGAGAAAGGGACCTATATGGTTGTAGGGCTTCTACACTTACTTAAAGTCATAAATAATTAACTCTAAATATTCCATAAAATGTTAGGTGGGTATATTGTAACACATAAGCCATCTATTAAAAACATAAGTGCCAACAGGTATAAATTAACTTGAAATACTAAAAAAAACCCAATAAACTAAGAGAATGCAAGAAAAGTGAAACAGAAAAGTAAAAAGGAAAGATTAAAAAGAAACAATAAAATTGTAAGTCTAAACTGGGTGCTCTTGGCTTATACCTGTAATCCTAGCTACTTGGGAGGCTGACATCAGAAGGATCATGGTTTGAGGTCAACCTCAAGAAATTGTTTGTGAGAACCCATCTCCAAAATAACGAGAGCAAATGGATTGGTGGCACAAGTGGGAGAGTGCCTGGTTTGCAAGCACAAAGCCCTGAGTTCACACTCCAGCCCACAAAATAGAAAAAGAAATAGTGAGCCTAAGTTCAACAGTATCCATAATCACATTTGGGTTGGGTTAGTTCAGTGATGGAGCAGATGCTTAGTATGCATGAGAACCTGAGTTCAATCTCCAGCACTGTTAATTCACATTGATTATGAGCCATTAAAACATACTCATTAGAAGACAGAGATTGTTAGACTGTTGTTGTTTTGGTAGTACTAGGGTTTGAACTCAAGTCCTAACGCTTACTAGGCAGGTGCTCTACCACTTGAGCCACTCCAGCAGCCCTTCAATATCCTTCAGATGTTAGTGTTCCTCTATCTGGTCTATTGTTTAGATGAAATTCCTACTAAAATCTCAGAATGTTAAGCTCAGCATGTTGTTTCTAAAATAGTTACAAAAAGGCAGAGAAACTAATTGCCAAGATAAGTTTGAAAAAGAATGAGTTAGAGTATTCATGCCACACGATTTCCAGGTTCCCTTCAATGCTATGTTATTCAATATAGTGTAGCGTTAAAGAAAGCATATACATAGAGGTCAGTGGGAGAGAACAGAGATTGACCCACAAGCATATACAATCAGCTGATTTTTAGCAAAAAATTCAGTAGAGAAAGGATTATGTTTTCTAAAATGGTATGAAACCAACTGGATATTAAGTGCAAAAAAAAAAAAAAAGAACCTTGATCCTTTTCTCCATGTCATGCACAAAAACTATTACAAAATGGATCACAGATCTAAAAGTAAAACCTAAAATTATAAAATTTCTAGAAAATAACTTAAATGAAAATCTTTGTGTCCATGGCATAGGCAAAGATACTAAGAAGATATAATGACAAAAACACAATTCTTATAAAGAAATGGTAAACTGGACTTCTAATCTTTAAAAGATTAAGATTGTAAAAATTCAAGTTGCAGAATGGGAGAAAATATTTACAAATAATTTATTCAATAATGGACTTATCCAGAAAATTAATTGCTTAATAAAAAGTATAAGCAACAGTTTGAACAGATGATTCACTAAAGAATTTGAAGTGGGAGAGAAAAAAAAAGAATAAATATAAACTCAGACACACACACAAACACAAAGAGATGTTCAACATTATTGGTAATTCGGGAGATACAAAATATAACCACGAGATATCAATGTATCTGCTAAAATGACTACTATTTGAAAAACAAAAAACCAAGGGCTAGTGAGGGTGTGAAGCAAATGGAACTCTCATACAAGGCAAATGAGATTGCAAAATGGTACAGTCATCTGTAAGTGGTTCTCAACAGTTAAGCACATGCTTACCACATGAGCCACAAATGCCAGCCTTAGGAATTTACAGACTAAAATGATTACTTATGTTCACGCAAGTGTTTCTGGCAAATGTATTCCTTCAGCTAAGGAATGGATAAACAAACTGGTACATCCATGCAACAGAATATTATTTGGTAATAGAAAATGATAAACTACTGATACACAAAAACCTGAATGACTCTCAAATGCATTTAGTTATATAAAATAGGCCAGACTAAAAATTGTATGAATCCAGTTATTTGACAGTCTTGTAGGGCTGGTACATTAGGGGAGGAAAGGAGATGGATTATTGTCCTATGCTGGGGTGAACACTACCAGGGAGCACATGGGAACTGGGGAGCAAGGAGGCAGTGATGGATCAGTTCTGTATCTTTATTTTGGTGATAGTTTCATACATCTCTCAAAATTCACAGTTCTATACACTAAAAGGGTGAGTTTTAATATGTAATAAAAATGGAGGGAGACCTAAAAACTCAGGATTACATGGTTCTTCCACAGCACTATGTATAAAACCCCATCTTAAGTATTAAAATTGTTATTTACAAATGTTGCAATTGAGATTCTGAAGAATGAGAACGTTGTCTTGTTTTTGTCCCTAGCTGTTTGCAAAACTGTCCTGAATAACCTTGAGAAAACACTTTAACCCCCACATTTCTTATCCACAGGGGGACGAAAAATATTTTTTTTTTCTGAAGGGTAATATTTTTTATGCTACCATCACCGACATCTCTGAGAGACAGGCACCATCTCCATTTATTATGAGAGATAATAAAGTCAGATTGCAGAATTGTGGGAAATCAAACAGCTACTAAAGGTAGAAGCCAGGTTCTGACTTTGGATCTGTCCCTTTCCTAACTCTGGTTTAACTACTGACAAAATAAGCATGGCTTGGGACACTGAAGGAAGGAATCATCAGAGTTTTGTTCCCCCAGCTGTCATGTCTTTAACTCTTTTATCGCCACATGTAACTTTAGCAGATTTTTTTCAAATTGCCATGTTCAACTTTAAGGTGCATTTAAAAACAACACTTTTTATTGTTCCTGGGCATGATCGTCCATGTCTGTAATTCAGCCCTCATGAGGTGGAGGCAGGAGGTTCCCAAGTTCCAGGTCAGAGAGAGAGAGAGAGAGAGGTTTGAAGAAGTTTGTCAGAAATCTCTTTTGCTTTGGTGACACCTTAGCACTGAAATGTGCACAATGTGGACCCTCAGGCTCTTCGTGTGAAACTGGGAAGGCCGAGGAGGAGGTTGGGTAAAGGTAAACTTGAATCACCTCCCCAGCCCCATTAAAGGGGGTGATGTTAATGATCCCCACTGCAGAAAGCATCAAAGGAGATCAGGTAAGTAAATGAAAGTCATTCTGCAAAGCAAGATGCCCAATATTGGCTACACCAGCAACTCAGCACTAATAGTTTGTTTTTAGCTG